CTCTCTCTCAAATAAATAAAATCTAAAAAAAAAGAGGAATTTACAGACAGAGGTTTAAGAGGCAGCCTCAAGTCACAGTTGTGAGTTCTGATTCTGTCTCTTACTGCATCCGTGGTCTCTTGGGCAATTGCCACACCTCCCTGAGCCTCAGCGTCCTCATCTGTAAAATGGGTATAATGAAAGTACCTCCACCATTGTGAGGAGTAAATGGGGAAGGTGGCATGTAGCAGATGAGTAGCACAGTGCCTGGCTGACACTTAATCTACCCTCAATAAATGTTAACCATTATGTTTATTGTCTATGTGCTGAGCTCTCTGAGGATCATGCCCAAAACGAAAGAGTAAAATAAAATATAATGAGGGGGTCGGACTGGAATGTCTCCAGTCTCTTCTGACTCAGGAACTGCTTCAGAGTAATATATCATGTTAGAAACCCCAAGCGGAATTAGTTGAGCCATTTCATGATTTTGTATGGCCTGTGAAGAAGGAAGCAATTTTAAGTCAAATGTACTATTTTCAATAAGCGTATCAGTTCAAAAATTTCCCTCACATTTATTTTAAACCATTTAAAATATATGCATGATGGGGCTCCTGGGTGGCTCAGTCGTTAAGCGTCTGCCTTCGGCTCAGGTCATGATCCCAGGGTCCGGGGATCGAGTCCCACATCGGGCTCCCTGCTCGGCGGGAAGCCTGCTTCTCCCTCTCCCACTCCCCCTGCTTGTGTTCCCTCTCTCGCTGTGTCTCTCTCTTCAAATAAATAAATAAAATCTTTTAAAAAAAATAAAATATATGCATGATGTGTGAAGATAAATTCTTTTTTTTTTTTAAAGATTTATTTATTTATTTGAGAGAGAGCGAGTACATGAGAGGGGGGAGGGTCAGAGGGAGAAGCAGGCTCCCCGCTGAGCAGGGAGCCCGATGCGGGACTCGATCCAGGGACTCCAGGATCATGACCTGAGCCGAAGGCAGTCGCTTACCCAACTAACTGAGCCACCCAGGCGCCCGTGAAGATAAATTCTAACTTCTCCTCACTTTCCAAGTGGCCTCTGTGCTTGCTCTACTTTACATAAATGACAGAAGAGAATGCATGGTTGGTGAACACATTTTGAAGTGATGTTTTATTGGGGGACCAAATGGACATTAAAATAGGCTGAGATGTAACAAGAGAAGGGAAATCACTTTCAGGACCAGAGGGTTTAAATTCTGGCATTTGATGCTTAGAAAGCCGATATGTACCTTTTTAGAAGAATCTTAATGTTTGTCTTATGCAAGAGAAAATAGATCTCAGGTCCCTGCGGGCAAGCATCTCTCTGCATGAGCCCTGCAGGTGTAGATCACCTATATGTCTGACACAGGTGATGAAAGAGCACATATTATTTTCTCTTTTTAACACTGTTTGAAGTTTTGGGAAGTGCAAGAATTTCCCTGATAAGCTATGTAAGAAATGTGATCAGATAAACACGATTTATGAATCTTGAGGGAAATTTGCAGGGGAGGTATCAGCTTCCTTCTCCTTATTTCCTTGTGTTTCTGACATCAGAGTTCCTTTTGCATCCTGACTTTAATCACTGGTTCATTAAGGGTATAAATTAAATAATAAACGATGAAGAATAAGACCAACGTAAAAGCATGTATCAGCCAAAGCCACTGCAGTGGCCAAATGATAAACATCCTGGTTGGGAGAAATTAGATTGTCATTTGTTTGATTACCACTAACTTCTGCTTTTGACTCTTCTGTTTATCCTAAGACGCTCTCACACTGAGAAAAATATCTTTTAAGTAGCAAAATAATTATTCACTAATTTTCAAAAGAATGGAACCAAGCTCCATGACCTTCTAATGGTGTGAACCTTCTGGAACACTTCCCTCCCTGTTGGGCAAAGCTAGTGGAAAGTAGTGAAAACACAGACCTGGGCTTGAGTCTTATCTCTGCCATTTACCTGCTGTGACTGAGCCTTGGTGATCTCATCTGCCAAGTGGGTACTATTAAGATAGGACTCATGTGAAGTCTTGGAGAAGGTCCATGAAACACCTTGCACCCCCTCCCGGTTCTCAGCAGGCTCCCGTCTCCTGCTTTCAGCTCTGTCAGATCCCCCCAGGACCCAGACAGATCCACGGAGACACACAGAGGACGGATTCACTGTCTAGCAGAGGCAACATCGTGAATGCAGCTGTAGTTCTCAGAGGAACTTTGGGGTGGACCCAACCCCCCAGGGAGAGAAGGGCAGAGGGGAGGGGGGAGCTGTGGTGTGAGGGGCTGCCTCTGAGTCACTGTGTGAGCAGAAGATTGGAGGCCTCATCTGTAAGAGTAGGAGCAGGTAGGGGAGGAGAAGAGAGGCAGCAAAGCCCACAGGACGCCCAAACCAACTCATTTCTGCCCAGAAGTCTCACCAACACTCTCCTGATTTGGATGGAGCCTCCTTTCCCACACTTGGCTTTAATGAGACGGGGGGATCCTCCCCTTCTGGTCTACCCCACTGATCTGTCCTTTTCTTTCCTTGGCATTTGGGGTCTTCACTGCCTGGGGGTGGGGCAGGATACACCCCATGCTCTGTGGACCCTATCTCTCCAGAGGAGATGGAGGGAAGAGGGAATAATGGTCTTAAATTCTTTCCTGAGCTCAGCTGGAAGAGGGCTGATGGTTCCTGGAGCGTGCATTGCACCACAGCCCTTTCGAGGAGCTCTGCACGCCCATGTCCCTAGCTGGTTCTCACTGCAGTATAGCCAATTCTGCATTCAGACAGCCCCGGGTTTGACTCTTGGCTTTGCCATTTACCACCAGCTGTGTGACCTTGGGCAAGGTCTTAATCCTGCGTGAGCTTCATCTTCTCACCTCTCAGATGTGGGTGGTGACAGTGTGTCTCTCTCAGGGCTGTTGAGAGCACTGGACAAGGCAGCAGTGCTAACTGAGCTCCAGCACGTAGTGAATGCGCCGTAAACGTGAACTTAAGAAAATAAATGAGCTCCCCTTTGAGGCAGGTTGGTAATGTTTTGCTTCATTTTTGGAGTTGGAGAAACTACGGGTTAGATGTGAGGGATGCCTGGGTGGCTCAGTCGGTTCAGCGCCTGCCTTGGGCAGTTGGGGCACTGCCTCCCAAGGCCTACCCAGATTCCCGGGATCGAGTCCCGCATCGGGCTCCTTGCTTGGCGGGGAGTCTGCTTCTCCCTCTGCCCCTCACCTTGCTCGTGCTCTCTCTCTCTCTCAAATAAATAAATAAAATCTAAAAAAAAAAAAAGGTGATGTGGCTCATCCAAGGTTCACCTGATGCCTTGGTGAGGGAGACTTGGGTTTTCCACAGGATCCCGTGATCAATAGCACAAGTTTTGGAGTCCACAGAGCTGGACTTGACACTGGATGCACTCTTCCTTGGCCAGGCGACCTTGAATGAGTCACCATTGCCTCTGAGCCTTGATTTTCCTCTCTGTAAGATACGGCTGCCTGTCTCCCTTCCAAGAGCAGCCTTGGTGTCTCCTGGCCCAGGGACATTTTGCAGGGGTTGAAAGCAGAAGCTATCTGAAGACCGCCCTTTTTTTCGGTTCTTTGTGAAAACCTGAGTTCAGTGAGAAGGTTAAAGCCAGAATCTCAGGTGGCTGGGGAGAAGAGTGATCCAAAGCCAAGGATGCAGGAGAGAGGGTCCCAGGGTCACAGGTCCCTTGAGTTTTGACATCCTGGGCTCTGCTGCCTTGAGGAGGTGGTGGGGCCTCTGGGTGAAGTTACCGGCTGGTAACCCAATCCTGAGCTTAAACCCAAGGCACAGTGATTTCAAATCTTGGCAAAGAATCTGGACTCTAGGCACATTAGGGAAGTGGACAGGGCTGGACTTTAGGGGTCAAATCCCTTTGGACAATGGGCATCCCTTATAGGGGGAGCCAGGGTGGCACGAAGGCCAGGTGCGTTCCCTTGTTCTGTGCTCTGTATGAGACCCTAGGATTCGATGTGCAATGCTGGAGAGTGAGAGAAGCTCACTACACACTGAGACTCCATTTCTGACCAGCCCAGTAGGGTGAGAGCTCTGAGTCCCATTGAAGGTGCTGTAATAAGAATGAACGAAAGAACATTCTGTGTACATCTGAGAGCACAGGGTAAGAGTAACAGGTGCAACGAGATGTGGAGGGAAGAGAAGAGACCCACTGGAGGGCTCTGCTCAGCTGAGCCGTGCTACCATTTTGCCCACCTTAACCATCTGGTCTTAACCCACCAAAATGTGGTTCACTGGTAGAAATTAATGCTGGGGCCAGGGTCGTTGGGGCACTGCCTCCCAAGGCCTACCCAGATTCCTCTCGAGCCCCTCCTCTGCCTCAGTCCTGGCCTTTGTGTCCTCAAGGTGTCTACCTGCCACCCATTTGAGGGAAAAACAGCTTGCAGCCTTGTCATCCTTATCTCTACTCGCCAGCAGCGGCAGACGGTGTGAGGATCAGAATCTCCACCGTAGCCGTTTGCCGAGCCCGGGAGCCCATCTGGCCCCAGCATTATCCAGCCAGCCCTCACCACGGGCCCGTGAGTGCTGGTCTCGGGCCCAAGGTTCTCAGAAGAGGGAGCTGAATGGGAAAGAGGGGGACTGATTTTCTTGAGGCCATGGGGTTACCAGTGCTGCGATTCCCCTGGGTGCTGGTGCAGGGCACGCTCGTAAACATTACTGGCTTGCTGAGCAGAACCTCCATGGAGCGGAGCCCTGGCCTCCTGGGTCTAGCGTGGTGCTAATGCCAAGCTGCCCCATCAGGCTGTCTGCATGTCGGTGACTACCTCCTTCTGTGCGTGCTGATTCATGGTCCTGTCCGAGGGCGAGGACCGCACCAGCCCCGAGCCATCCTGTGAGTTGTCCTCATACACCTTAGGAGTCCTCCTCATATGGTATCACTTTCCTGGTCCCAGACAGGCCCCCCAGCTTCTTACATCCCGGCAGGGGGACGGGGTAAAGTAGGAACACAGGTTTCATACAACACAGGTTTTCTGAAATGAGGAAGAGGCCCCAAATAAAGCAACAACAGAAAGCTACTCACGGTAGTCTGTGGCTGAGCTCCCTGACCCTGCCGGGCGCTGAGGAGTCCTGGTGGTTGTGTGTCTAGGAGCTGGCCCTGGGTCCCGGTCAGAGCTCCTGTTCAACAGCCACCCCAAGGCAGCTTTCTCTCGCTTTTACTCTTTCTCACAGATGAGTGAGCATGAGGACGTCTGGCCTTCCGTCCCTGTCACCACTTCCCCTCTGGGTCGCCCCAGTGCCACAGGCTTCTTGTGCCTGTAATTGAGCTCTTTCTCACAAGGAACTCTGGCCAGGGCAGGGCATAGGTATAGGTCCTGGAGTCAAGGGACCTGGGTTCTACTCCAGCGGAGCTGTTGTGACCCTGAGCAATTCATTTCATCTTCCTAAACCTTAGTTTCTTCATCTGCAAAATGGAGGTACTGCATCAGCCTTACGCAGACCACCTGGAAGGACATTCCATTCCGATCCCTCTTGCCTATCAGATCAGAGCTTTGAAATCCAATGCCTATAGGCGCCCGCCAGATAACAGAGATGGGTGAAGGGTGCTGGTATGGTGCAACAGAGAGCGGTGGGGACTGTGGGGGGACGGGGACACGTGACCCAGTCAAAGGCGCTGGCATCTCTCAAGGACAGCCAGACTTGCTGCATGGGAATGCAGACCCAAGTGCCAGTTTCCGAGCATTTGGAACATGTGCCCCATTTTCCAAGAGAGAATAGAAATCCCGACTTTTATGTAATGGCTTCCAATTTTAGAATGTTGACCACAAAGTCAGATCTTTTAAAAAGGCTATGTGGGTCAAAACCAATCCCATTTTTCATTTATATTTGCTAGACCACGGGCTCCCTGAAGGCAGGGATCTTGTCCCTCATGCCCAGTCCTGGGCTTAGTAAATACACAGGTACCTGGTCCACATAAAAGTGTTTTCAGACCTGTTATCAGATAGAATACATATTTTCAAGTTTTTATTTAAATTCCGGTTAGCTAACATACAGTGTAATATTAGTTTCAGGTGTAGGATTTAGCGATCCCTCACTTACATACAACACCCAGTGCTCATCACTACAAGTGCCCTCCTTGCTGCCCATCCCCCATTTAACCCATCCCCCCGCCCACCTCCCCTCCAGCAGCCCTCAGTATGTCCTCTATAGTTAAGAGTCTGTTTTATGGTTTATCAGATAGGTAACATGAAAACCTACTTCTTCCTAGGGGTACAGAGATGAGTATGATAAGGTTCCTGCCCTCCCTGGTGAATGGCATTTGATTATTTCGTCAGATCTTTTTACTTACTGCCCCCCTATCCCAGACCCCAAGGGATGGACCTGGGCCAGTGGTTCTCAGGAAGGGAGATTTTGCCCCTGAGGCAGAGCTGCCAGATTCAGCAAGTAACAATATAGGATGACAATACCGGACACACACAAACTAAAAAATTAATTGTTGTTTCTCTGAAATTGAAATTTAACTGGGCATTCTGTATTTTCTCTGGCAAACTTACACAGAGGCGACGTCCGGCACCATCCGAAGCGGCACCGCTGGGAGGGTTCTACTGACATCCAGGGAGTGGCGGCAGAGAATGCTAGAAAACATGCAAGGGTGTGCTCAGGCTCAGTGTCCACAGTGCTGGATGCCGAGGCCCCACCGCAGCCGGCGGTGGGGAATGGCGGGCTGAATGCATGAATGATGCTCGAATGAACGAATGAATGAAGGGAACAAAGAAGATACTTTAAGACTAAGGGGGAACAAACACCAGGAATCTGGGTTCTAGTGGGGTCTCGGCTCCTGTCCGGCTGTGACGTCACTTCCTTTGTCTCACCTGTATTTCCCCATTCCTAAAATGAGGAAGTTGGAGTTAATTGGTGTTTCTATAACTTCTGCATGCATTGGAATCACCCAGAGGGCTCATTAACACATAAATTGCTGCCTCTCCCACCCTAGATTCCTGGCTGAAGTCAGCTCCGGGAGGCCTGAGAATCTGCATTCCTAACAAGTTCCCAGGGGATGCTGTTGGTCCTTGGACACACCTTGGGTAGCCCGGCCGGTGGCTCAGGAAGTCTGTTCTCTTTTTCCCCAGACAGGGCTAGGTGCATCTGCACAGGAGGGCCCAGGAGCTGATTTTCTTTTTTTTCCTTTTTTTTCTTTTTTTTAAGATTTTATTTATTTGCGAGAGAGAGAATGAGAGACAGAGAGCATGAGAGGGAGGAGGGTCAGAGGGAGAAGCAGACTCCCTGCCGAGCAGGGAGCCCGATGGGGGACTCGATGGGGGACTCGATGGGGGACTCGATGGGGGACTCGATGGGGGACTCGATCCCGGGACTCCAGGATCATGACCTGAGCCGAAGGCAGTCGCTTAACCAACTGAGCCACCCAGGCGCCCCGGAGCTGATTTTCTCAAGCTGGTTTTTCCAGTGTGGACAGCCAGCTTCACCAGCCCATGCCCTGTGAGACTCTGCCACCTACTGGATGCATCTATCCCATGCTGGGCCTCAGGCTGTGCTATATTTAGCTCCTGAGGGAGGGAGGAACATTCAGGGTGGCGTCTCTCCCAGCAGGCCCCGGGGAAGCAGCCTTTGTTAAAATCTGGGCCATCTGACCCCTTCAGATGACTCAGTTTCCCATATGCATGTTGGTGCCTGAATTAACCTAGGAACATGAAAACAATGTGCACTTGCAAGCACGTGGGATAAGTTTTGACCAAACTGTTACTCTTTTTAACTTTTAAAAACCCGATGTCCAGCTATTTGAATTTACTAAAGGCAAATGCTGGTGGTGATGCGTATATGGAAAAGGATTGTGTATCTTTACAAAGTTCTACTACAGGTACTCTTTTAGGTGGTTGCCTAAGGCATGTTTAAAACGTGGTGATTCACTTATCAAGCTAAGAAAAGAACCCAAACCAATAGCACCGTCGGCAAGCATGTGCTGAGACAGACACGCTCGGACACTTAGTGGGAGCGTGACCTGAAAGTAAGCCGACAGCAGGTTTTACAGTGAGGGCTGGTGGTTTGAGTGGAGCCTCTGGAACTGGTCTAGACCTAGGTTTCATTGCTGGCCCGGGGAGAACCTATGTTCTGTGTGTCAAAGCACTTTCTTTTTCTGGTCTTAATTTCTTCAACTGGAAACAAGGAGCTTGAAGATGGTCGGTGTTTCTCAGACTTTATTTTTTTAATTTAATTTTTATTCTTCTAAAGATTTTTACTTATTTGAGAAAGAGAAAGAGAGAATGAGAGCATGAGCATGAGTGGGGGGAAGGGTAGAGGGAGAGGGACAAGCAGACTTCCTGCTGAGCCCGGAGCGCGAAGAAGCTCGATCCCAGGACCCCAAGATCATGACCTGAGCCAAAGTCAGACGCTTAACCAACTGAGCCACCCAGGCGCCCGATGTTTCTCAAACTTTAACTTCATCGGAATCAGCAGGAGAGCTTCAAGCGCTCAAAGTACAGAGATGCTGATTTGACAGGTCCAGATGGGCCTCACAGTCCACATTTCTTAATCAGCTCCCTTGTCACCTATGTGACACCTGGGTCGTGTGCCCCTCCAAGCCTTAGCTTCCTCACCTGGGAACCTTCAAAGGGTGATTGCAGGTATTATGTGAGACAGCCCCGCACAAAGCTGTCGTTGCTCTCATGTATCTTTTTTTTTTTTTTAAGATTTTGTTTATTTATTCATAAGAGACAGAGAGAGAGAGAGAGAGAGAGAGGCAGGCTCCCCGCTGAGCAGGGAGCCCGATGCGGGACTCGATCCCAGGACCCTGGGATCATGACCTGAGCCGAAGGCAGACGCTTAACCATCTGAGCCACCCAGGCACCCGCTCTCATGAATCTTAAACATGCTCATAGCATTTGAAATAGTAATTAACTTATAGAAATCTATTTTAAGAAATTAATCATATGATCAAAGATGGTTACATTGGTATTATTTATGATAGTGAGAACCAGGAGCCATTCTAAGCATTCCATAATAGAAGAATTATTTAATAAATTATGGTACGTCCTGTGCTGAAATGTAATGCAGCTATTAGAAATTGTTTTTAAAAAAATCACAATCACTTTGGAAAATGCTCACAATATAATATTAAGAGAAAACAGCAAAAGCTTGGATATTATGAGATGATATCTACATGTTAAATATATGAAGAGGTGCTCAACAGGGGCAGGGGTGGGAGGTAGGGATTTGGGGTAGGGGGTCAGGTCCTTTCCCCTCTCCCTTCTATATTTGAGCCACTGGGGTCTGGGGCCTTATTTCAGTTTCTTAAAGATGCCCCACTTTCTCCATCCTCAGGACCGTTTGCTGTTCTCTCGACTAGAAATGGCTTCCCCCCATCATTCAGATGTGAACTGCAATGCCATTGCCTCCCCTGGGAAGCCCTCCCTGACTACCGAGGCAAGGTTAAGCCCCACTGTCATAAGCACTTCTTACACTATAATTCTTGTCCTTCCCTCTCACATGGCTGTCCACCCCATCACAGCACAGGTCTCCCTATCGTATTCACTGCTGTATCCTTTGCAATTGGCTGTGGTGCCTGGCACCTAGTACGTGCTCAATAAAATATTGTGACCAAGTAGACTTTGATGAGGTCACTCAAGTTTTATTTGGGAGGCAAGTTGGAAGACTTGGTGGGCATCATGTTAATCCTTAGGCAATGCTGTCCTCAAGCTCTGCAGACCTTGGGCAAGTCCTTTTCTCTCTCTGGGTCTTAGTCTCCTCTAAAAGATGAAATGATAGGGTTTCCAGGAACGACAGATAGATTTTAGCTTCAGCGCCAAGTCTGGTACGTTGGTGGTTGTTACCCAACCATAGTGTTGAGAAGGATTCTGAAGCTGAGTACAAGCTCAGTAGGAAAATGTGTCTGATCAATTAATCAATTAATGAGGTCTGCAGTGGCGTAAGAGGGGTCACAGTAGTCCGCAGGCCAGGTTTTGTCATCCTTGGGATGTAATTCTTAAGGTGTCCAGGGGGTCAGGGTTTAAACCCTTAAAGAGGTTTAAGGATCTGATAAAATTTAAGGCCAGTATGGCAAACGCAGCTTGGTGCAAGGGCAGGTGGAGAGCTGGTTGTAACTTCAGAGTGGAGTGGCCAGACTATAGGATTTCTCAAAAGAAGTGGAATTCCTTGATTTTGTAATCGAACACGGTGAGGGGCAAACAGCACACGTCCGTCCGTGGGGCTGGATCTGTCCTATGCGCCCTGCCGGCTCTGGCGTTTCCTGTTGGGCCCATTTGCTCCCCCTCCTGCCCCTCCCAGCGAGGATAGCTGGAAACTTCTAGATGAATACACATACCTCCCCTCCCCAGGGGTACCTCCTCTTTTCCAAGGCGTTGCCTTTGTGTTTCAGAAGAAGGAAACATGTGACTTCACATCCCTTCACAGCTCCCCCTGACATCCCTCAGACTCAACCTTGGTTAGTTGTGAGGGTTTTTTTTTTTTTCCTGATTATGAAAGTAAACAGTAACAAACAATGTCCACAGAGTTGTCAAGTTACAAAAGAGAAGACGCAGAGTAAGACAGGTAGGACAGGACTATTTTTGTAGATTAGAAAACACCTGCTCCTACAAAGCAGTGCAGCACAGTTTACAAGGATACATTAAAGTCAAGGAGACTTAGGGACCCAGGAGGTAACGCAGAGGGGTTACCTGTGACAGGGGAGGGAGGAAAGGAGACAAAAGAAATTCAGTACATCAGTAAAATTGATACAGCAGAGGGCCCTTGCCCAGAGTGCAATGATGGTGAGCTACAGACCGAAGGGGCCTGCTTCAGACAGTAAACTCGCCCAAGGGTCCCCCAGAACAAGTAATAATTTTCAAGGCAGACATTTTTTGAAATTTAGAAAAATATAAGGAAGAAGACAAAAATGCCCCCAGAACCTGCCACAGGGGAGGAGGTGGCCATCACTAACTCTTAACTGTGTTTCTTTCTAAGCTGCCATGCATCCAGGCCAGGGGTGTTGAGGGACTCAGCATGCCCAGGGGGGCCCTGGGGACAGAGGAGAGAGGACAGTTGAAGAGATACCTTACAGCGGTGATCAACAGAACTGGACTTTGGAGCCAAACTTTGGGCTTGGGTGCTCAGCCCCCGCAG